GGGGCGGCTCTGCCCCTCAGCAGGCCGCTGGGCCTGCTCTGTGCGTGGTCACAGTTCCCTCTACTTTAATGGAAGGAGACCCTCAGAGTTATACAAAAGTACATACAAGAGGAAGTGAGGGGAAGGGGAAAAATAATACAAGGGGGACAAACGAATGTCAGTAGAGGGGGCAGAGAGAGAAGAGGGGAGGGGAGGGGAGGGGAGGGGGGATAGTAGAGGATAGGAAAGGCAGCAGAATACAACAGACACTAGTATGGCAATATGTAAATCAATGGATGTGCAACTGATGTGATTCTGCAATCTGTATATGGGGTAAAAATGGGAGCTCATAACCCACTTGAATCAAATTGTGAAATATGATATATCAAGAACTATGTAATGTTTTGAACAGCCAACAATAAAAAATTTAAAAGAAGAAAAAAATATATATATATATTTTTAGTTGTAGGTGGACACAATGCCTTTATTTTTTTATGTATCCTTTGTCCTGTATATTTACTGAATTCTCTCTTGCACTAGCTTACTGGTCAGCTAGTAATATAACAGATAATTCCATTTGTGTCTCCCAAAAATATTTCCCAGTTTTTGTGGATTGGCTTTATGTTGGTGTACACCTTCAATGCTTAGCCACACCATTCATAACTCTGCCTTGGTCTTCATTTTCTGCTTGTATAGAACCTAAAAATCAGCCACAGATGAAAGATTAGTGTCTTAAATATTTTTGAGTATGTGTTCAGCCCTGAGCAAGTGCTTAGACTTCTATATTCTCTGATATATGCAGGAGCTTTTCAAAGCCCTTATTCTCCTATCTATCTCCTTCCCTAGTTGCTTCCTTTTCAGGATTTTCATTCTCTGCTGATTGTCCCATCTATCATCAGGTGGCTGTCACTGGTATACTGTCAACAAATATCATACAGGCTACTATGCTAACTCTGTAAGACATTTCCAAGGTGGACAAAACAAAAAACAAGGCCCTGAGCCCATCCTTGCGGGCCAGGAGACAATTGAAAATATATAATCACAATTTTTGAGATTAAGGTCTATATTGCCCATCTGGCAGCAGAAATTTACCTAAGCAAAGTGGCCCACCATCCCCAAGGTTACCACTAAGTTGGGTTATGGAATAGCAGGGAGATAAATCAAAATGTTTTAGCAATCTCTTACCAAAATTTTGTCGCTTCTTCTTTCATTATGCATTCCCCTGATTATTTTAAATTTTATTAGATTCTAGAGTTTTGGAAAATGTAATTCTTATAGTTTTTGCTTGCTTAGTCATTCTTTTAGTGGAAGGATAGAGTTTTGAAGTTCTCTACTCCATGATGTTATCAATGTTATCTACTTCAACAATGTTATCAATGATAGATATTTTTTGTCACCATTATTATTACTGGGTTTGGGTGTTCCAGGTGGGGGTTCCAGGTGGGGAATTGATATAGTTTACATGTGATTATTGATAAATGTAATACCAGAAATTCTTCTGCATTTCTTCAGAAATCAAAATTAAATCGAGT